AGTTCATTACTGAACTTGGAGTGGTTCCAACCATTACATCACCAGTAACTTTGTACTGTGATAATAGTGGGACGATAGCTCAAGCCAAAGAACCCAGGGCTCATCAAAAGAACAAGCATTTTGACAGGCGCTTTAATATCATTAGAAGATATGCTGCCGAGGGGAAAGTCAACATCCTCAAAGTTGCCTCAGCAGATAACGTAGCAGATCCACTGACAAAGCCAATGTCTCAAATCCAACTTGACCGCCATATGGAAAAGATGGGTATTAGATACATGGGAAGGTGACTTTGAGTGCAAGTGGGAGATTGTTGGAAGTATGCCCACAAAGCCACTCATTTGATGTAATAGCTTTTGGAATACTTATTGTATTAAACTATTATATGTTTAATGAAGGGCAAAGCTTATTGTTAATCACTATTTATTGTATCATGTGTTTAAGCAATAAGGGAATCCAAGGAATGTATTTGATCTAAGAGAGAAGTGATTTAAGTAAGTTAGATTAATGAGACCTTTCTCTTATGTTCATTCCTAAAACGTTCCTAGCCGTAGGATCGCCAATTGGGCATTGACAATCCGCTAAGGTTAGTATGTGTTATGTCAACTCAAGCATGAGTATGACTTGTCTCAAGTCATTTATTGTTGGACACTAAGAAAAACACATAGGTGCTCGAAAGAGTAATCGAGTACACTAAACAACGATCAAAAGAGAGTTCGAACATACATGTCATGTAAGAACTCGATAGTTGCAATATGCAAAGTAGTCCTTTGACTTGAGTCATCATAGATGTCTAATGGTTAGGTCCTTGATCCTTGATCATGTCAAAGGCATTCCATTGAGAGTGTCCACAACATTGTTGGGGTCAAGCTATCTAGTCATGTAGGCATATGAATGCACAAGAAGGGATCTCTAACCTTCCATGAAAGAAGGAGAATACTCTAAGATATGATTCGAGAGTCTTTGGCCAAAGCATATGAATATGACTTAGGAAGTTTATTCCAAATCATATTCAATTGAATCATATAAAGAAGTATCACATTGGATAGTAGACATGAAACAAACTATCACTCAAACAATGTGATTAAGAGTATTGTATTAAAGAATGATCGTATTGCGTTGTAGTTGTAACTGGATAGGTTCTCCAACCACTTCTACTTAGCTTGGGTAACCATGACATGCTACTAGGTGTCACTCATGGTTTGTGGAAGCCCTGAAGATTAGCAAACACTAATCTTAATCAAAGGGAGAATTGAAATGTAGTTTCAATTCATAATCAATCGTTAAGAGTAACAATCGCCTAATGCCTCGCTGATTGGAACCTAATGGATCGTACACCAAGTAAGGATGAAAGTGAAGAAATATAAATGAAATGGATATGCAATTAAATGGTTTAATTGAAAAAAATGGTCAAGATTAATTAATTAGTTAATTAATTTTACGAAAGGTTCGTTTTGGGCTTTTAAGTTGGTTTTGGGTTTCGGGGCCCAAAAGTGTTTTGGTCCACAAGGCCCATTATGTTTAAGTTGTATGACAACTAAAACAAAATGGGCAATTAGCCCAAAAACAAAGACAAGGCCGGCCACAAGGGAGAGTGGATGCAAACTTGAATTAATTACAAGTTTGCCACTCAAATGTGATGTAGTATAAAGTCAACTTTATAGCTATTTTCTCATTAGGGTTTTCTTTGAGGAAAGGAGGTGAAACATTATTCTCTCTTTTCTACAAGGAGGTCGGCCACATAGTGAAGAAATAGCTAGCAATCTTTTCTTCTCTAAGTCATCCATTTCATCTTCACACCTCATCCTTGGTGTGGAGACTTAGAGACACCAAACCTTTGGTATTTTGGAGATCCTTTCCTCACATCCTCAAGGAGCAAAGGAGCATCAAAAGGAAGGAAATCACAAGGAAGATCCAAGGAGCTATGAGGTGACTTGAAGGCCCTCCACTTGGGTGAATCCCTTGTGTAAACAAGGATGAGCTTCAAGGGTAATGAATCTCTAAAACCTTCTTTCTCTTTAATGTTGTTAAAGAGTCTCTTGGTTCACCATTCACTAGGCTTTGAAAGTCATGGGTTTTAGAATTGTTTTTGAAAGCATGCCTACTTTAATGTGTTAATAGTTTGCATATGTGTTCAAATATTCTCACATGTTCTTAGCTAGGACAAAATTTATCCTTCAATAGCTATATCCTAACACCAACTGCCTAGATTTTTAGGCAGTGTTGTCATAAGCTGAATGTCAGAGTGAAGTTGTATAATCCCACCCGTGCGCTCGCAAAAGTTTCCATTTATGGAGGGAAAGAGCAAAAGGCGGCAATATTTCAATTAGAAACTCTTCCCAGTTCACTTAAACCTAGACTGGATCGGGATCCCGCAATTTCAATACAACTCCATCTCTTTTCCGATTTCCGCAGCTTCAATGCCGTCTCTCAACTCGCCCAGCGGGTTCATTATCTCAAACCCTAGCTTTCTTTTCGCTATTCGTTTTTCTTTTTTCTTTTTTCTTTTCTTTTTTCTCTTTCTATTTGGTGTTTGGTTGGTGAGAAAACAGAGGAATGTTAAAGGGAAATAGTGGTATGAATTGTGATGGGTGTTCATGGCAGGAATTTCCGTGGGGGATGCTTCCTTGCCGACGAGCACACAGCTCCCCAAGAGGTCGGCGCCGGTTGATGCTTTCTGTCGGGCTTCTGCTTTACTGGCGGGCTTGTCGGGCAAAGCCTGTCGGGCAAGGCTAAAAGAGAATGATAGAGTTAACTTTGAAAGGTGACTTTGTGGGGCCTTAGGTGTAGGCCTTGAGGCTCACAATCAAGATTAACTTTTAAGTGCTCAAACGTGCCACTGCCATCTTCAGCATGGCAGATGTAGAACGGATGTTTGAGTTTTAATTATATATATTCGAGAGACTATGTTAGTTTTTGAAAGGTGCCTTTGTGGGGCCTTAGGTGTAGGCCTTGAGGCTTCCCATAAATAACTAACTTAGGACTCGAACACATAGGTTCCTTTTCTTGGTTATATGAGTCTTATAACTATCATACTTCTGATTACCTGAGCCCAAAGAGCAGAATGAATCCAAATAGGTGCCTTTGTGGGGCCTTGAATAGGCCTTGAGGCTTCCCATCAGAACTCCTTCTATACTCAATGTTCTCGCCCGAGAAATAGGATGAATCCAAATAGGTGCCTTTGTGGGGCCTTGAATAGGCCTTGAGGCTTCCCATTAGAATTCATCCTGTACTCGAACGTTATATGGTAATCATAATATAACCGAAATAAAACTAAGTGACAGGTCGATTACTTGCGCCTCAAGTAACTTCGGACTTCTTGTTATCAAAGCTTGTCGTGGATGGGTTAAGTCCACATCAGGTTCTTTTTATGCCTTGAGGCCAAGGACTTTTTAGAGTGATCAAATCTTATATGCCCGAGGGCTTAGAACTTAGATCTGGCTTGAACTGTGAAGACATATTCAAATCAGATTCAAGCGCTGAGAGAGAGTCTTTTAATAGCCATATTACTAGAAATAACTTGGATACAACTTGTAGTATACAACATATTGCTAGGCTAATGAATGAAAAGACAAAAACAAAGAGGGTCGGGCAAGGCTGATCGTCTTGCAACTTCCTATCTTTGTGGTTTATCAGAAGATTTGAAAGCTTAGGAAAGGGGTTGGGAGGTGAGTTTACAGAAAGAAATCGATACTACAACAAAAGTTGAACAGTGTAGCAGAGCTATTACAAAAGGTTTATCCCGAAAGGGATGAAGGCTTGGGCTGACTACAGCTTCGTTTTAAAGGCAAATCTGGCTTTGAGCAGAGTTTGTGCTTGTATTTGTTTGTTTGAGTGTCCTTGATTCTGACTTCTCTTTCTCCTTTTATAGACACCTTGGCTTGGCCTCCTGTAGCAATAATCTTGCCCGAATGCAATTTGAAGGATAGTGACTCATCAGCTATTTACTTGTACTGCCACCATAAAGTACTTTTGGGCTGATTAGCTGGCTGGTCTATACCACTTGGTCCTTGGGTAGGTGAGCAAGTGATGCAAATGATCTGCACCTAGTCGGGAAAGCCCTTTTCTGCCTTCTGGACTTGGGCTGTGCTTCGAGCTTCTCCTTCTCTTTTTGGGCCAACTCCCTTCTAAGCCCAAAGTTTAAGTTTAACCCAAACAATGGGCACTTCAATTTATGATTTAATATTGTTGAAATTTGTATTGTAGGGATATTTGTGCACATTCTTTCAGTAATGCCACAAATTATCCCCGAAATTTATGATTTAATAGAAATCATTCTCAAAATTTGGAATCATAGCGTACATATAGCTCGTTTAAACATGATCTTACGGTACATTGTTGTGCTTTTAACCTTACTCTGGCCTCTGAATGTTAAATCGTAGAACGATTATTCTTAGGGTGGAAGGTAACATCTTATCTGTTTCGGTTCTGTATTAGCATAAACAAAATAAAAATAGAAAATGTGTTTGCTATGTGTTGTAGATGGTTGCATCACCTCTCTTCTATTGTCATTGATTTCTCTAGTTCTTGTTAGATTGTGTCTTGCTTTTTTGTAGTTGGATCTTTGTGACAGAATGTTTGTTGACGAGATTTAATTGATTTTGACAATACCTATTTAGGGATTCGGCTACAATATTTACATCTATTTAATACAATCACCATCTTGATGGATAGGTGATTGTATTAAATAGATATATTCGCATAAAATCTGAACGTAAGATGATGATTGTATTAAATACATGTGAGTATGGTTGTCAGTCCCCCTTATTTAGATATGTTCTGTTGATTCGTGTTTTGACGATTATCTTCTCCAAATGCTCTCTTGTCAATAATGTAGAAGCTTGAAAGGGTTTATTTTTCATCAGCAACCAGTTATTGCAGGTAAGCATCATTTACAATGTTACTTGTTAAACGATTTGATTTCTCACCTTCTTCATTCCTGTTTCTTTGGGGGAAAAAAAAAAAAAAAACGTTATGAATGTTTTGGACATTCTGGGAAGTTATTGAATGGATTACTCATTTCTCAGAATTTATTGAACTATTCTGTACAGAATACAATCAACTCGTCACGAGAACTCACATTTCCTGAATGGTGCTGGCTTTCCGCTGCCCGCCCATCATATAATGTGTGCATCTCATGCTAGAGGAAGAATAATTAAATGTGCTAGAATTTGTTAGTCATTGTTCTTCTCACAGTCAGTAGTCTTCTGTATATCTGATGAATAATCTTCTCTGTGCCATCACGGTCAGTTTTATTTCTTCTCTTCATTTTTTGTCTTGGTCATCTTACTCGCTGGGAAGTGCAATCTGGCCATTAAGGGCCGTGGTGCTCTTGTTTTCCTTTCGAATCCCCTCACACAAACATATCCTGGAAATAAATCAATCAGTCTACAAGGAAACTTGTTCGCCATCTCGTCAGTTGACTGCTAAATGTAAAGACATCAGTTCTGCAATGGAATGTTTTTCTTTTTTTCAACAGTCACACCCACGTTCAGAACTTCTGCTATAGAGTTGTGTGAATTAACAACCTTGTTATCCATGTCTAAATTTTGCAGGTGCTTAAAGAGTATAATCTTATGCCGACATGATGTAGTTACTAAAATGATCAAATACAATTGGCTTTTGATTGACTTACTCTAGGATAATCTAATATCCTATCGACTAGATGAAGTTCTTAAACAAGATATAGTTGCAAACATCCAAGTAGGTTGTGTCGGAATTTAATTTCATGATCTTGTGTTATCTTCTCATTTATGTACTATGTTCCTAAATAGTTATCCTCAAAAGAATATACAGAGCTGAAGTCGGTGTCTTATGTTCCTAAATCGTTATCCTCATAACTAATATGAAGAACTGAAGTCAGCATATCACATACCTCTCCAAAAGCAGTATTGAATTCCCTCTGTTGATAGACCTGGTAGAAGGTATTTCATTGTGAGTAACTTTACATTTCTAATTGGGATCCTTGTAAAGCAACCCTGGTATCTCAATTTCTATTACCTTTGAAAATTGTTGATACTGAAGTTCCAAAGTATACAGTCCGTCTTGGCAAATTCCATATCCACCCCCTTGGAACATCAATTGGGTTATGACTAGATTCATGATCTGCGAACATCTGCATCGTGATAGAGTTTTGTTTATAAATGAGAATAGGCAGATAGCAGACTCTTTTTGACCTATTGGGTTGGAGGAGTGCCTCTAATTTAGATAAGGTGTAATTTCTGGACTGCTATAACTTAGTCCAGACTGTACACAGTGGATAAAGTTGAAGGAGATTTGTTTGAAGAAGACTTGCCTCGTTAACTTGAAAGCATGTGCCATTGAGGGGGAAGCTCCCTCTCATTGCTGTTCTACAAGGTATCTGTGACAAGATGAATTAAATTTTAGTAACAACTGCAGGTGGTCTATTTTGTTTACATATTATCACATTTTAAATTTTCCTCACCAAAATCGTCCCTCTGACTGTTTGCAAATTTTCTTCTCTTATACTATTGCATGAAAAGCATGTCTTCTCATTGCACAATTTGTTTTGATCTTGGAAGCCACACCTGCTTTCTGGTTGTTGAATTGAATTTGCAGTTTCCCCTGGTATACAGTGATGCATAATAAATGCATCACTTAGCAAAATGTACAAGATACTCAATTCTCAACAATGTATCTCAGTTCTCTGTGATTTCTTGAGCTTACCTGGTGTCCATATAGCTAGAAGGTATGAGCTTGGATCATCTGGTTCCCGTCTATCCATCTGCAAAGTTGAATAGTGATTAACTGAGATTAAGAATGCCTGTTATATTCCAGACAATTAACATATTAACCTACCCCTTCCAAGAGTGGATGCGAATCAGGTAGTTCATACCTGCATTGTATCCACACAGATATATAAGTTTGTGATGGAGAATTATAGTTATGTCTATGTACATATGTTTATATACAGGTATGTATGTCGAAACTCATAATATATCGTAGGCAGAGAGTTATTTAAAATGCAGTTAGAATTCTGATGGTAGCGAATTCAGTATTTAGACACCAAAAATTGTTTTGTTTGATTGCACATGCTATGGGTATGTTGTTACTGCGTCCACTGTATTGGTAAGCATATGCGGTTTTATTGGGAAGACAGGGACTTACACTTGGTGCTCTGTTCGTAGTCTACTGACATTCTTCAACTTGGGCGTAGGGATAGAAGTAGCTTCTGAATTCAAGGCAACTAAGGCTTTGGACATGTCACCTTCTTGGAGCTTCTTCTCTTGCATATAGTTTTGTAATGTTGATGTGAACGCTTCCATGTTGAGTTTGGTGGTAGGAATCTGATCAGGATCTTCATAGAAGAAGTCCTCAATTTCACTTTCCGATAGCTCAGTCAACTCTTGTTCTGGCGTTGCTGGCTCTTCGATTATTGGTTCACACTCTTTAATTACAGTACCTGCTATCTGGAGTGAGTTGTTCTCAGGTGGAGGCAGTGACATAGGAGTGACAGCTATTGCGGGATTTATCTCGGCTTCAATGGAAACATTTGAACTGACAATTCTCTTCTCTTCTGGCCCTGGCAGGGCAAGTCTTGCACTGCACCAACAAGGTTGGTCTGAATTTGATTAAGACTGTCTTCTTCTGAGTCTTATAATAATGTATTGTGTTGTTTTTTTTATTTTTATTTTTTACTTCTCTTTCTTGTTCCATGTGATTAGTGAAACATAGAGTACTTTTTACTTCTACAGATTCTACGTGAAACTATCTACTAGTTTAAGTTTTTGAAACACTTTCTGATTACTTATTAATAAGGCCAGAATCTCATGCCCCAAAATATGTAAAGATTCTCGTGACACGCTTCAGTGTTTATTTTCCTGCACAGTGACATCAATACACATAATTTTCCAGGGATTATTGCTCGAACCTTGCACAAGCACTTGCGAAGTGTCTACATTCTCCTCTCATTGGACATGCATTGCAATTCGGTTTACTCTTTGTACAAAATACCTGCATACATGCGAAAACATGAGGGACTTACCCTATTTTTGCTTAATCACAAATCATGTTTCTAATCAAAGAAGCGCCATGCATACCTTTCCAAATGTAATCATCTGGTAGTGCAGCTCGTAACTGTCAATCAATAGTCAGCTAATTAGCAAAAGAGCAAGTAAAAAAGAAAGTGCCTACAAATTAATATGAATGGTTCTAGGGAAGTATGAGATTACAAGGTTAGTTGATCAAGTTTGCATAATCTTGGCCATAAATACTTTTGAATCGACTCCAGCATTGGGTACCTATAGAATAAACGGTTAGCACTTGCAAGTATGGAAAAGTTAATCATCCATTTGTTGAGATATTATTTTCTTACAGTTCTAAGAGGTGTAACTGCAGTGATTCAGGTAATGGTTGGAGGGGGACCCATCCCAGTCTTACTGCTATCCTTCCAACATTTGTGTCAACCTTTATGGAGCAAAAAGAAACAATATTTCTTATATTGTAAGATGTTCCCGACCTATCATAGGAAAATTACTAAATAGTGCCACACAATTCTTACCGGGAAAGCAAGGTGGTGAAGTGTTAAAAGCCGGATACACTCCACACTTTTCAAGCCCAATCCCCGTATGCTTAATAGATAATCCCTGCAGAATAAGCATATCTGATAACTAATTAACTATATACAAAATATACAGATGCACTGCAGTCCATTATTCATCATTTGGATAGCCTTGTGCATAAAAGGGGCAGTTGTAATGTTATAAAAGAAAATGAATTATTTGGAATGACTGACTTTGCTTTATCAGGGGGAACATCTCTTAACCATTCCAGATCGATGCTTTCATGTTCTCTAACCAGTCGCTTTAGGAATTCCTACAAACATTTTGCAATCACTGTTAACCTATCCAGTGATGTTATCTTGGGGCAAATTAACGGTGCTCTTAACAAACATGAGGGCTTCAGACTGAACACTAATAGAAGAGAACCTGCTTTCGTTCTGCTAGCAAGTTGTTCATCCCTCGCTCCTTGATTGCATCAGATATTTCTTTGACATTAGCATTTATGAGTGCTTCATAGTGCACAGAGTCCATTGTACCTCTATTTCTTTCTGTTTTCCTACCATTGGCTTGTGCCTGCTTTCTCAAAATGTCCCAGTCAACTGCATTCTTTTTCTCGCCCTCAGCCTTTCCTTTTTTTTCGTTTGGAGTTTTTCTACTTTCCTTTTCTTCCTTTTGGAGTTTTTGTACCTGTAAATTGGAATGAACCGATTGATTTTCAATGTATATTGGGTTATTTGCTACAGAGATGCTATCAACAACATTGAAAGATTTTCTATTGAGCTCACTGACATTTTGGACATGCTGCATGCTACCAGTCTTATTTCGCAAAAGTGGTTCAGTATGTTTTACAGGCTCTGTGACTGATGTATTTTCTGATTTGAAGGTTAGGTTTCCCTCACATTGGTGACTGTAGTGGGAAGGTTGATTATCTCCCATGCTTGACATTAATTCAGAATACCCTTGCTGGTCTGTCGAGTGCTCTTTCAAAGATGGATACAGGTCCTTTGTTGGTTTTTCTTGAGAACTCCACAAAATATTCTGTTGCATGGAGGAATTAATGACGCTTCCTGACAGTTCTTCAGTTCTTAAGCTCTTGCAATTTTCTTCGTGTTCAATATTAAACCTGGAAGCAGTTGAAGGCCAAGAGGATATGCTTTCCTCACTGAAATTTCCAAACCTCCATAGCTCTGGTTCTCCAGAATCTGGGTACATGTGAAACTGATTGCTGCTGGACGGAGCAACTTGTAGTTGCATTTTTTTATTGTCAAGATTGATTGAATCCTTGAAGGAAGTGCCTAGGCTCTGTCTGATCGTCTCTTTAGCTGTGCATATCTAATATGCCCATTCTTGGATCTGTCATCTGACAGTGAAATTCCATTTACTTGATTGTAAACGTCACGAAACTTGGTTGCTTTCTCCATCTGTTGACGTGCTGAAAGGGAAACATGAACCTTCTTGGTTTCTTTCTCCATCTGGTTATCTTCAGATTCACAGAGTGTCCTAGAAATCAGGTGATAGATTGGCCGACTTGACATATATTTATGCCATTTGGTGACATCATCTGGACTTGTCATGTGAACTGCGGGTTCTTTTACCAATATGTTTGTCCCAACCTTCTGTTGAGCTTGGTGATTGCTTGACTTAAGCGGAAATCGTGCAGCCAAAGACATGAAGGCAGAGCTACAAAAGGTTAAAGGAACAAAAAGAATACTGTTCACTTCAAGACATTCACATATGGGAAAGCTGGTTGTATAATATACATGCTAAAATTGTGAACGTACCTTGATAGATGGTCTGAAACATTCTGAGTAAGGAAAACTCCAATCACTGAGTCAACAACCGATCCTTTCCATTTTGAAAAACGTCTGTCTCCTGTATAGACTAATATTTGATCAAGGGTTCTGTATGCTATCTTGAAGCCTATCAACTAATTGGAGAAAATTATAATGAATTTATGTCTTATCGGTACATGAGAAGCAAAAGTACTTCTTATGAGAGAAATACAAATTGTGCAATCTTTAACAATGAAAAACTTCTTTGCGAAACTTTGTGGATTATTGACATAGGTGAAAACGTATTTTGTGCTGCAGATCGCCACTAAAGTAGTTTATGTGAGCCAGAAAATTTGCTGCTAAAGGAAAAAAGGAAACGTGGGTCAGCCTAGCAAGTGGTATGAAATTTAAAACATTCATATCTTTGTTTTCATACAAATATAATATATATATATATATATATATATCACCATTGCTGTGATCATTTAGATTTTCTGCTAGATAGAACCTCACTGCATAATTATCAAAGTTTTACTGAACCTGAACTCTGATAAATAGGTCATGGTTCAATGGTTTAACCATTTGGTCAAGGCTGCGCTGGTCTTCTAGATAATTTGCTAAACTTTATTTTTTTTCGTAGATTTTAAAATTGACTTGGAAAAATATGTATTTGCCAACATAACAACGCTAATTCTTTTTATTCGTATTTTGGTCATTTCGCACTTGAATTCTTCCTAGTCAGTCATTTTTATGTAATGAAAAGGCTTTTGTATTAATCATTGTTTATAATGGAGTATAGATTAAGAAAGGATTACATCAAGTGCTTAAAGCTGATTTACAGTCTACATATTATCAATGACAAAATAAGGGCCTAGACTTACGCAATTGTTTGTTACTATTGTGTTGAAAAGTATTGTATCTTCTCTAAAGCTATTGTTTCTCAAGATATCTACGTAATCAAAAGACCTTTTAACCCCTAAAATGTTTCATTCTATTACCTTCTCATTATTTCAGGTGTGATTGTGTGACAAACCCCTTCTTTTTTTACCACAAAAAAAGAAAAATAAAAAGAAGGAAGTACATGTTATTTTTCTAGCTTAGTAGGTGGGTGGCTTAAATTGCAGTTCACAGTTTCACAGTTGGACGGGCAGTACAGTATATTAATGAATCTAAGGATGATTGTCTTCTTTAGTTCAGAGCTTCAATATTTAATAAAACTTTGCAATTAAATCCGTTAAAGAGCTTTAAAGCGTATAGACGGCAATGTTGACGTTATAATTTTTGACATATACAACATGGTAGTTCATGACAATACAATTTAGGAATAAAATATAAGATATTGTACCTTGAACAAGATGCATGCGTGCAATGAATGATTCAACTCGGCATTGGACAACCTTTCTTTCCTCTTCCCAATACTTTTCCTTTTTCTTATCATTTCCTTCAATGCCTCCGCTTCCTTCCTTGCCCATCAAAAGATTCCATATCCTATTTGTTTCTGGGTCAAGCTCTACTTTAGGCCGTGGCTTATGTTTCTTGATAAATCTTTCATAGGGAACAACTGCACTGTTTCCTTTGTATGGAACAAGGGCATTTTGCTTATGCTCTAACATTTTGCTGCATCTTCCATTGAGGTTCAGATTATTAAACTCATGTATGATGTTATCTATTGATATGGTATGTCCTCTTACTTGAAACCCTGCATCAAAATGAAGAGTATGTCATTATTTGTGAGTTGAAAATAACCATTGTGATGATACATTTTTTAAGAGGTTTTTTAAGTTAGAAGTACCGATTGCTTTTGAAGAAGGCTGCTGATAATTGTATGAGGCATCCTTCTCTTGCAGGACATTATCTATACCCGCCTTTGTGGGTCCCACAGTCTGCTTCATTTTTAACATGTTATCATGGCGAGTTTGAGATACCTGCTTGTTTCCTGGTTGAAAGGATTTTTTGGGATATGATGAGGCTAGCTGGTTACAGGTTTCAATCGTGGAATGGGTGGAAAAACAAAGACCTTGAGTGAAATCATGGCACGAATGTGAATTGGATGAAATCTGGGGATTTAGAAAATTATTCCCAGAAGTGATTAAGTAAGTGTATCTGTCACTTGTAAACTTGCCCATCCCTTTGTTCTGTCTGTCCATCCTTTTGTTGCTTTCAATGGAAGAACTCAATATTGTATGTTTCTTTGATGCAAATCCATTTGAGTTGACTTTATTTTGCCCTGTTCTTTCAAATTTCCCCAGACGCTCCTCAATTGGTGTAACTTCACAAGGCATATTATAGATGCCCAAGTACCCATTCTCGAATTTCTGTTTCTTATGTGAAAAATCCTGGCTTAGCACTCTCTGATGGCCATCCATTTGATGTATCTCTTGGCAAGACAATGAACTAGGTGGAAGATTGGTAGAAAGATGTGTATGCTCAACGGTTCGACAATACTCCCTCTTGGATCCCTTTACTTCACTTGGAAGGGAGAGGGAGAAGATATTTAGTACCGAGTGAGAGTCACCCTTTCCAGTATTAGGGTCTATTGTATTATTTTCTTTTATCTGAAGGCTCTCACTGCTAGTTTTTGCTTGAATGATATCTTGACACATTCCTTCATTATGGCTATGTTGCTGCAAGGGAGTGTATCCATCTCTGCATCTTCTCTGGCATAAATCATAATTCCCATATTCTACATGTCTCCCCATAACATGCAAATTTTTCGGATGCATGTCTTTTGTTGTAGTAAGTAGGAATGCCAATGGTCGCCTTTCTGGGAGGAATACAAAGTTATTTGGCATAAGATTCATGGAAGAGGTAAAGTTACTCATAGTTCCTGGAATCTGGTTCTGTACCATCAATTCGTTCTGTAGGACACTTTGCTTTGCTGGCCTGGCTTTAAATCCCTGGTTAGTTACAGGGACCATAGGTGTCCCTTGAGAATCAAAATTCATCTTGATCCCTTGCTGCATCTCCTCTTGTTGACCAACTGCTTTGCATTGGTTTTCATCCATGGTATTTTCCGAATCAAAATTTAGAGCTCTTCTGCATGATTTTGCACCTTTTCCAGTTTTAGGGTCTATTGTCTCCCTTATACGATTTGCCAGTGGACTTGGGGATTCCTTTTGAACATTCTTTCTTACGTACTTCCTCTTTGCTGGTTGGTTCTCCCTAGACTCTGTATTGCTTGGAGTTGTAGGCTTTGGTTTCCCTTTGGGTTTGCCTTCTCTGATTACCTTGGGCCTGTGTTTTCTTCGCTTCGATGGTTTCTGCTGCGGTGTCTTGTTTAGATCAGTCACTCTGTCACCTTCCCTGTCAGAATCTTTGTTTCCCTTGTAGGGTATAGAAATGGCTGCTGATGATGACTCCACAATGTTCTCCAAGAGTTCGTCACCATTTTTTTGAATTGCTTCATCTCCTATAGCAAGGGAAAAGAAGGAGAGTTGGATATCTATAAACTAGATACCAAAGAAGGAGAGTTGGATATCTATAAACTAGCTAGAGCAAGGGAAAAGAAGACAAGGGACCTAAACCAAGTGAGGTGCATCAAGGATGAGGATGGAAAGGTTCTTGCTACAGAGAACGCGGTTAAAGATAGATGGAGAGGTTATTTTCATAATCTTTTCAATGAAGGACATGAAAGGAGTGTTTCTTTAGGGGAGTTGAGTAACTCAGAAGAGTGTAGAAACTACTCTTTTTATCGTCGAATCCGGAAGGAAGAAGTGGTTGTAGCTTTGAAGAAGATGAAGCATAGAAAAGCAGTAGGCCCAGACGATATACCAATCGAAGTGTGGAAAGTTTTGGGAGAGACAGGTATAACATGGCTCACTGACCTTTTCAATAAGATTTTGAAAACGAAGAAGATGCCAAATGAGTGGCGAACGAGCACTTTGGTGCCTATCTACAAGAATAAGGGCGACGTACAAAATTGCATGAACTATAGGGGTATTAAGCTAATGAGTCATACAATGAAGCTCTGGGAGAGAGTCATTGAGCATAGATTGAGGCAAGAGACACGGGTTTCGGACAACCAATTCGGGTTCATGCCAGGGCGCTCAACCATGGAGGCAATCTATCTCTTACGAAGATTGATGGAAGATATAGAGATGGGAAAAAGGATTTACACATGGTCTTTATAGATTTGGAAAAAGCGTATGATAGGGTCCCAAGAGACATTCTTTGGAGGATTTTAGAGAAGAAAGGAGTACGAGTAGCATATATCCAAGCTATAAAGGATATGTATGAAGGAGCAAAGACTGCCGTAAGAACTCATGAAGGACAAACCGAAAGCTTTCCCATAACTGTAGGATTACATCAAGGCTCATCCTTAAGTCCTTACCTTTTTGCGTTGGTAATGGATGAGTTAACAGGACATATTCAAGATGATATTCCTTGGTGTATGCTTTTCGCAGACGATATAGTGTTGATAGATGAAACTCAGGAAGGGGTAAATGCAAAGCTTAACCTTTGGAGAGAAGTGTTGGAATCTAAAGGTCTTCGCCTAAGCCGATCAAAGACAGAATATATGGAGTGCAAGTTCAGTGCAAATGGAGGCCAAAACGAGTTAGGGGTGAGGATCGGAGATCAAGAAATACCAAAGAGCGATCCGTTTTCGTTACCTAGGATCTATCTTGCAAAAGAACGGAGAATTAGATGGAGATCTCAACCATAGAATACAAGCTGGATGGATGAAGTGGAAGAGTGCATCCGGCGTGTTGTGTGACCGCCGTATGCCACTGAAGCTCAAGGGAAAATTTTATAGGACGGCAATAAGGCCGGCGATGCTGTATAGCACAGAATGTTGGGCGGTGAAGCATCAACACGTACACAAAATGGGTGTAGTGGAGATGAGGATGCTTCGTTGGATGTGTGGGCACACGAGAAAGGATAAGATTAGGAATGAGGATATTCGGGGTAAAGTAGGAGTAGCCGAAATTGAAGGAAAGATGAGAGAAAATCGGTTACGGTGGTTTGGACATGTGCAAAGAAGGCCTACTGACGCTCCGATTAGAAGATGCGACTATGGGACAGAGGTTCAGGGCCGAAGGGGTAGAGGAAGACCTAGGAAAACTTTGGAAGAGACTAAGAAAAGACTTAGAGTACTTGGATCTAACGGAGGACATGACACAGGATCGAGCACAATGGCGTTCTAAGATTCATATAGCCGATCCCACTCAGTGACTTGGATTTTCCAAGTCTCCAACCGAGAAGTTTTCCTCACTCGGAAAATTAAGGGAACACTACCTCAACCTACATGCTCCACTCACAAAGCTTCAACATACAAGCTTCAACAAAAGAAAATTCAAAGAACTTAGCGAAGAAGGCTTTGGTGTATTTAACACAATACGTTGAAATGAAGGAAAGCTTATTTATTGATATCCCCGATAAGTTACAAATATGTACATATACATGAGTCAAAATAAACAAACAAGAGGGAGCCTTCACAAAGGTTGCTTAGGAGAAGTCTCAGCAGTCGGTAGAGCCCCAGAAAGAGAAGGCACCGGAGGGGATCATTCGGAGCCTCAGTACTGGACAGAACCCTAGAAGGAGGAGGCATCAGAGGTTGATCATTTGGAGCTTCATTACGCGGTACAGCCCCAGAAGACGAAGGCAATAAATGCCTTTGGAACAAACCCACAAATCTCTGATGATCAAGTAAAACCTGACCATCAGATTCCTTCATCTGGTCAAGCTTCCTCTTCATGTTTGTAGCATAGTCATGTGCGAGCCGGTGCAACTGTTTATTCTCATGCTTGAGCCCTCTAATCTCCTGTTTGAGACTCATCACTTCAGCCGCCAATGATTCAACTTGGCGGGTTCGAGCAAATAGGCGTTGGGCCATATTAGACACAGAACCTGCACACTGAACACTGAGAGCCAGAGAATCCTTAACAGCCAACTCATCAGACCGTTTGGAAAGTAGTCTGTTATCTTTGGGAGTGAGAAGGTTCCTGGCCACTACCGCAGCGGTCATATCATTCTTCATCACGGAATCCCCAACGGTAAGAGGACCAGTAGGGGAGACGAAGGATGGGCGCCATATGTTGTCTGGAGAAGGCGTGGCTGCCTCTTCAACAAGGTTCAAGTCAAAACGACGGTCGGAGGGGCCAGACATTTTCAAAGGTGTTGAAGAGAGAAGAGGTCGGACAAATCAAGATCTTAGAAGTGCAAGAATGGAGCTTCTACTGGTGGAGATTCAAGTGTGCTTTGGAACTTAATGCCAGCCTCTATAAAAATCTGCACTCGACGGAGCTTCAGAAATCGAAGAGGCGTTTGCTTTCTCAAAAGCTGGGCTGCTCAGAGACCACGAGACGTTTGCTTTCTCAAAAGTTGGGCTGCTCAAAGACCACGAAGGCCGATCTCAGAAATCGAAGAGGCGCTTGCTTTCTCAAAAGCTGGGCTGCTCAGAGACCACGAGGGCCGATCTCAGAAATCGAAGAGGCACCTACTTTTCCAGCCTTGTCAGCACCTGTCAGCTTTGCGGAAATTATGGGCATTCTGTCGAAGATTTCTGGTGAAGTAGAAAGCACATGAATCTTACTGTTCAATCACCCACTTCCCACACGCAACATTAGCTCATGGGTACCACAGATAACTTTGCCAAAGTTCTCTGACAAAGTTGAGACACGTGAAGCTTGCAGCTCCCACTACATCGCTCTGACCAAGAAGGGTAAAAGAATAGCAAAGAAACAGCACTAACAAAGTTTAGACACATAAATTTTGAAGGTCTAGCTACCATATTATTACCCACAAGGGTAAAGGAACAGTATCACTGCTGGATAATTGGAAAGTCCCTGTGTGTGTCAACCTCTGTGCTTCGTGGCAAGGTAGACTAGCAAACATGCCCAACCTTTTCTCACATTCGAGAAAAAAACACTCCCAACAAGATTGCTTGCTCCAAAATCGAAGAGGCACCGCCCTCCGAATCTCGAGAGCCAGACTCCCAACATGATTACTTTCTCAAAAATCGAAAAGACACCGCTCTTCGAATCTCGAGAGCCAGACCCCTAACAGGATTGCTTTCTCAAAAATCGAAAAGGCATCGTTCTTCCGAATCTCGAGAGCCAGATCTCCGACAGGATTGCTTGTTCGAAAACCGAAGAGGCACCACTTTCCCAACTTCAAGAGCCGGATCTCCTTGGATAAAGCTTGTCTGTAATCTTTACACGCAACATCAGCTTTCCAGATACCACAGACCACTTTTTCAAAGTGCTCTGACAGAGTTAAAACATGTGAAGCTGGCAGCTCCCACTACCGTGCTATGACCAAGCAGGGTAAAGGAATAGCATTACTACTTGTTGTTAGGGAGACTCCTATATATATGTCGACCTCCATCCCCAACGGACAGGCAGACCTGCAAAAATGCTCAACCCTTCCTCATATCTGAGAGGGCACTCCCAACGAAGCCTTTCGAAATATTCAGCTTTCTTTCCCCCCGATAATACCTCTGCAAACAAGCTATACTAGAGCAAGAATATCTCATATCATCAGGGTTAAAAGCAAGAGTATCCCATATCATGCTTTTTCCCTGTCTTTTCCTTTGGCCTTGTTCTTACCTGCAAGACAAGGAGAAAGAGAGCAATCAGTCAGCACTTGGAATCAAGCTTCCAGTCCAGGAACTGACTGCCTGGAACCCCTTACTTGATTACTTACCTGGCATTGCTCTCGAGTACTCATCTTCAACATCTTATGCTTCCAGGGAAGATACCGCATCTGCCTGAGGAACAGATAGGGCAAGTGAGAAGGATACAAGGAAGCATGTGGAGACAAGCGTAACAGCACACGTGCCGATACATCCACTACTCTGTCAAAAGCAAAAGTATCCCATATCAGCAGGGTCGAACGTACTCTAGATTTGATGGACTTGTTTTGACCCTCAAATTCTTCAGTCGGCCTTATACTCTGGAGGAAACCAGAAAACCCTCCAGCCCAGTTCAAGAATAAGCCTGTGGAAAGTTACTTCTTCAAAAGCAAAAGTATCCCATATCATCTCTTCTCATTTTTCTTCTCTTTATCCTTCATGCTGCCTGCAAGATAGGGAGAATGTGAACAATCAGCCGGAACTCGAAATCAAAGTTCTGATCTGGGACTGATTGCTTGGAGCTCTGATTGCTTACCTTGTCTGTCACCTCTTTCAGCAGATCCCCTAGCTCGGCGACTTGGGGGACTCCTACTACATGGTTTGTATCGCGCTTGACCAAGCCTGAAACTACAAGTAAGCTTCAAGTGAAATTGATACATTACCTTGTGCATCTCCACCAGTTAAAGATACCACCCCTGGATGGAGGAAGAGTACTTCCAGAGAAGATGCCACATCTACCTATGAGACAGATAAGGCAAGTCAAGACGATACCACACTCCGGATACTTAGAAGTTTCGTGATTACGAGATCATTCTCCCACAATATTTCCTAATGTCATTTGTACTAAATCATTCACTTGTACTCACTAAAGGAGAGCTTGAACCTATGTACTTGTGTAAACCCTTCACAATTAATGAGAACTCCTCTATTTCCGTGGACGTAGCCAATCTGGGTGAACCACGTACATCTTGGTGTTTGCTTTCCTATCTCTATCCATTTATATACTTATCCACACTAATGACCGGAGCAATCTAGCGAAGATCACAAAAAACGTGACCGTTTTCGCTACCTAGGATCTATCTTGCAAGAGAACGGAGAATTAGATGGAGATCTCAACCATAGAATACAAGCTGGATGGATGAAGTGTAAGAGTGCATCCGGCGTGTTGTGTGACCGTCGTAGGTCCACTGAAGCTCAAGGGAAAATTTTATAGGACGGCAATAAGGCCAGCGATGTTGTATGGCACAGAATGTTGGGCGGTGAAGCATCAACACGTACACAAAATGGGTGTAGCGGAGATAAGGAAGCTTCGTGGGATGTGTGGGCACACGAGAAAGGATAAGATTGTGAATGAGGATATCCGAGGTAAAGTAGGAGTAGCCGAAGTTGAAGGAAAGATGAGAGAAAATCGGTTACGGTGGTTTGGACATGTGCAAAGAAGGCCTACTAACGCTCCGGTTCGAAGATGTGACTACGGAACAGAGGTTCAGGGCCGAAGGGGTAGAGGAAGACCTAGGAAAACTTTGGAAGAGACCCTAAGAAAAGACTTAGAGTACTTGGATCTAACGGAGAACATGACACAAAACCGAGCTCAATGATGTTCTAGGATTCATATAGCCGACCCCACTTAGTGGGAAAAGGCTTTGTTGTTGTTGTTGTTGTTGCTTCATCTCCTATAGACATGGTTAGTTTCACCTGCTCGTCTTTTTCCTTGCTAGAACCTTCCTTCATCAAGAATTTCAGTAATGCAGAAGGCTGGTCATTCTCCAAATTCTTCTCCTGGTCTGTTGTGAATTGGTGTTGGCTAGCAACACATGAGGCAGCATCAGCTTCTATTGTTGGTAAGGAGTTTAGATCACAGCTTGACATGAATGGTACAGGGAAATCATCTGTGCAGAAAGCAGTTTTTCTGTCAAATAATTTTAACGGTGAAGGGATTTTTGGAATTATATGGTCATTAAGAAATTGTCCCTCGGAGTGAAATTCATAATGATTTCAAGACCATTTAGATGCAGTATAACACACTTAAGTTATAAATGTTTAATCTCCATCAATTTGTGATTTTCCAATTGAAATTGAAATATTTTATGGATCGCTTACATTTATTGGTCTATTGCCTTAAGCCGCTGTATGGTGCAAAGGTAAATGTTTTACGCTTTCAAGTGCAACAAGCCACTGGATTTTGAGAGCCAACCACCACATCTAAGTTAAAGTAGGTAAACTTTATAGAGGTTAATCCCAAGAATCACTATTATCTAATGGCATTCAAATAGTGTTACGTTCTTGCTTTGTTTTGCCCCTCTTTCCCCTGCTTTTCTTTTGTTTTTGGTTAACATCATCCAACAACTTCAAGTCTTTACTTTTAGTTAGTGTTTGGGTGTCAAAATGAAGTTGGTTGAGTGAAAAATAAAGGCAAGGTACAAACAAGTTATAGTGCATATAGATCATCGGTTAAATGTAAAAAGTACTTGCAATTAAGTTGAAATTTCAAGACATGAATGTTCAGCTTGGAAGTGATCTCATCTATGACAATATTCCAAATGTTTGAATCAGTTATTTGTCACGTAAGACTTTTGACTGTTGTGACTTGAAATAGATTTGTGGCACATTTCAAGGAAATCTTTGTTTGCAGTGTATGGCACAGATATGAGAACTGAATAAAAATACTTACTCTGGCACATCTGGGACGAGCTGTCACCATAACTCAATGGGTTTGAATTGGAACTTGAGCAGTAATTTTGGTCGCCAAATAACCAATGAACTGAGTTGGAATCTCTCGGACTGTTGTCAACTTGAGAAGGAAAATCCATAACCAACGATGTGCTCATCACCTTACTTGAAGGATATGAAAAATTGTTGCAATTTAGATTGGTTAGCAAGAAACTACCCGAATCGATTCCTTGGTTTCTCAATTGAGGATGCAACTTGGGATATAGATGTGTGTTCGCTGCTATGTCCATGCCACCTGAAGGATATGAACCATTGTTGAAATTTTGGTTGGTTAGCAAGAAACCATCCGAGTCAATGCCTTGGTTTCTCAATTGAGGATGCAACTTAGGAATTAGAGGTGTGTTTGCTGCTATGCCCACACTTCTGCTCGGGGGCCTGTTTGCAGTGGCAATATAAGCAGCATTATCATGTAACAGCTGTTGTGTCAATGGATTATCTTTCCAACTTGAGCCTTCATCAGAGAGCAACTGTGTGAAGGATCCTGCATTGTAGGAGTCCGAAATGTGATTGATCATTTGAATGTTCTCCCCCAGACTACCATCATAACCACATCTATGTAGCTGACCATTCGGGCTAACAGCTTGAGCCATGCCATTGTAACTAGCCCCCACCGGTACATGCTCCCTCGTAATTCCAGTCAATTGTTGTTGCCAATTTCCTCCTTGATGGAGGTTCCCATAAAGGTTGACTGGGACCGGATGAGGCTTCGCTGGAGTCACTGGAACCCAAGAATCCATGACCCATAAATCGTCATCCCGGGGAATAAAAAAATCCCCCTCCAAATTTCATCTTTGATTGAACCCCTACAATTCACAAAAAATCGAAGTCTCTTTTGACTTGTCTCTTACATTAATCTTTCTATTAACACTCTCCTGGTCTCCTTCTAATCAGATAACTTCAGCTGAAAACCGAAAACGTCCGGTTTTCCTGTTTCTTATCCGCACTGCCGGAAACACCCGGTGCCAAAACGCCCAAATACTCTCTCCCACAAACCATGAATGCATAATCAATCAGTATCCTATATATACCTGAAAATCGCTACGAATTACCGTATGGGCATTCAAATTCCGGCAAGAAACACAACCGGAAAATTTTCAGAGACCAAGTCTCCCACCTAACATGCTAATTACAGAGAGAATATTCGATTTTCTGAAAAATGAAAAGGCTTACAGAAATAGCAAAATGTTTATGAGTGGAGGCAACGGCGGCAGCTCAGCTCTCTCCGATCCGGCGGTGAGACGACTGAGAGTCGTCGGAGCTTGGTCAGCCAGACAATGACTGAATTTATAGTCAGTCTTCATTCAACAGTAGAATAGGAGTTGTTGAGAGAGGAGAGGAGAGGAGAGGGAGAGGGGTAAAGAAGACAAGTCAGATAGACTATGTGAGCTTTTATAGCAACTGGAAACTTAGTTTGGGCACCTCCTGAATTTTATAAGATGGGCGCCCGCCGTAAGTAGGGTAAAATGAAATTTTACGGAAAGTGCTTTTATGGTGGTTTGATTCACCAGTTTAGTTTAGTACATTATATTTGTTGGGTTACTTGAATGACTGGTAAAACTGTAATAATTTAAACTGATGTTAACTCAGGTATAATTTAAGCAGAGAAGTTATGAACAAATAAAATATTGTAACGTTTGAGGTGATACTGAAGTTATTTAAATCATTTTCAAGAGATGTTAACAGGTCAACGTCTACAATAATAGTAATAAAAAATGATATTAGTGTTTTTCAACCGAAGCGTCAATTCTTATGTACTATAATGTGGATTGGCATAAAAAATAATTTTGAATACATTTTTAATTGATTAATAAATATTTTCTTATCATTTTTATTATTGATTTTTTTTTATCGAGATTATTGTATTTTGTTCTAAAAATATTTATTACAATTATGAAAAGTAAATAATAGTTTAAATTTGACATGAGTGAAGTACAAAACTTAAAAAAGGATCAAAGTGCCACATAAGTTTTCAAATTTAAATTTGACATCATTTTTTAAGATGCTCTTCGGATTCATTTTCTGCAATCTAAATATTTTTGATAAAAATGCAACTGAATTCTAAGAAAAACATTTGAAGTACTTCGTTCAAGAAACACATAATTGATATTTCTTTCAAAATGCACTTCAAATGTTTTTAGAATTAAAAAAACACTTTTAGAATTAAAAAACACTTGTTTTGTTTAAAAAAGTAATTGCAAACAATCTATTAGGGAATCCTTTTCTTGGGGATCCGAGGGATCCCGTGATCGTGTCCGTTCATCGTAAATTATGCGATCAGAAATCATTTAAAATTCAAATTTTAAAATTAAATATAAATAATACTTAATGAAAACTGATCGCATGATGTACGATAAACGGCCACGATCACGGGATCCTTCAAATCCCCAAGAAAAGGATCCAGTTATGATCCTTTTCCATCTATTAGTGGTACAGAATCCATTATGTAAGGCTAAAAGCTCTGGAAAAAACTTTTAAGAAAAAACATGTAAGGCTGAAATCTAACCTCCATTCAATATGCACTTCAACATTTATACATTCGACTAGCTAATTTGCTTATCCAAATAAGAACAGAAATAATCATATTCCTAGCATTTTTGCAAACACTACTCGTGTGTGCATAGTGATGGAATTGTTGAAATGGAGGTGGAATAAGCATTCCAGAACATGGAAATGTTTTTATTTTTTATTTTCGACCCATTGATAAAAAAAAATTATAAATAAAGACACAACTAAAATTTTGAATTAAAAAATTAAAAGGAAAATCAATAGATAAAATAACCAAAAGTGTGCAAAGGGTGAAGCGATGTGTGCAGAGCAACTTCTGATTTGTTTACCATGATTTTGGTGTTTAAAGTCGCTGAGCGACTTCTCACCATCATTCTGTTTTAATCATGATTAACACCATCATTCTGTTTTAATCATGATTAACACTAAATTGTTACAAGTAAAACAAATTGAGTGCAATAGAAAAATCCTAATAACATTAGGGGAACATAAGTTAGTTCAACAGCGACACAATTAAGTAGTGATGGATGCAAGACTATATTCTCGTTGCATTCCAACAACGGCGCGTACATCGTCAAAAATCTTTTTCTAGCTTTTTAAGTGAGACATTTCGTCTAATACTTGGTCTACCCATACCATTGTCTGTTTAGTGTACATCTTCATCATCTAGCGTTCTTTTAATTGTGTCTTTAGATCAATATTATTATAATGAATAATACAAGGTTAAATCATATGTACAACAGTGTGACTCAAATTTATAAGATGATTAGGAAGAGGAAGAATTAATGAGCCCTTTACTATTTAAGAAAAATTATCAACTTTAAACTTTTTCGAAATATGCTGACCTGTCTGGAAAGTAATTTTCGCATCCCTTGTAGCATTCGACATGCCCTTAATTATTCCTACTTGTTGGATTGAACGAGGCGTATGAGAGGTCAATGTGATTTAGCGTTTGTGTTGTTTCACGAAGGATTGAGGAAAATACATTTGAGGTAGGTTTGTCAAATTACCAAAAACTATATATTTCTTTGGAGGCAGATTGTTTGCCCTCCTGTTTGGGTCCCTTTCTCATCCCCTCCTATTTGTGCGGTCACGGTTTTATATTCTTATTGTTTTTTGTCTTATTATCTCTATAAAAATATTAACGTGACTTAACCGTGACCGCACAAAATAAGAGGGGATGACAAGGGCATCCAAAAAGGAGGGCAGACAATCTGCCTCCTATTCTTTTTAACCCAAAAGAAAACTGAGAGGGGGCATGTCCCCCCGCACCCCCCCCCCCCCCCCCCCACAAAGGCCCTTCATCAACCGCGCCCCTGCTTACAGGGTACTTGAATTGCAAAGAACAGAGGAAACGAGAACCTAGTTTGTAACTATTAGACCAAAACACATTACAGAAAGTAACAACGAAAAGTACATTTTCTGTATAAATTTTGCGTAACTCGCAGAAAACCCGACAGAAGAAACATCTTAAAATCAATCAGTGTTTCACGGTGTTCAAACAAACAAAAGAACTTGCAAAGTTAGACAGGCACCTTCTGGATGCGGAAACATAAATTCATTGGCTGTATACAGCCACATAACTATAACTTGCAACGATTAGTGTTCTAGTTCCGGAGAAAAGCCACAGTGGCAACACGTGACCCTACGGATCCACGAAACATGAATGTTGGATATGTGCGGACATGACCAAGATTAGGTAGTGTTTCATGTTCCTGCGTCGCACTTCTTTGATTGAAACTTTCCACTTCTTGCACCAATTCATCCTTTGTGTTGTTACATGATGTGATCACCTGCAATGGTGTTCCCCAACAGCAATTGAAACATCAGGTAGTGTCGAAAGAAACAAAAACTTTTCAAAGAGAAATTTAAAGAGAAAAGAAAGAGTGCATGATTCTGGTAGGAGCAGTGCTATTCATAGTGGCCGAAAACAAAACCAAGCACTTTCAAAGTGAACAGGCAAGAAGTGCTAGGGTTCATAACGAAATATATTATCTCTACTCTTCCTTTTAGCACCTGAAACCACACCCTAAATGAAGGTAACTGCAGTTTTAAGTAACAAGTATTAGCCAAAGTGAAGATGCTTACTACTAATCCACCAGAAGCCACCAACCGTGAAACTGAATCCCAATAAATTAGCCTGTATAAAAAAATATGAATTAGCAATTCCAAACTCCAGTTTCCTTCTATTTAATAACCCCGAGCAATTAGATAGACTAAAGTTACTAGACAAATCATTCATACAGAAACAAAGGAATTATCAATCAGAAAATAGATGACTAATAATCGTAACAGAATACATGCAGCATAGCATACTATGCTGGCTTTTACCTTTTGATAGAACCATCTGGATGCAATCCAATGGCATCCAAGGTTCCTTTGTCCACAACTAGTTGGAACTGCCTTTCCAACTTGGTCTCTAGAATATCATCAACCTAAAAAATAGTGACACAATTCATTTTACAATATTGTAGAAAGGAAGTATCAAAATAATAGCTTAACTACAAGCAACGGTTCAGAAGACATTAACAATTTAACACTAAAGAAGAGAAACTCGCTTCATACAACTTCGTTCACTGGAAATATGCAGGCATAAGAATTATAGAAGACACCAGGTTGTAATCTAATAATTTTTTTCCGAAGCCTACCAAAAATTTAATGTTTGGCAATCCTTCACGATCAGCACGGCTTCGAGCAAGGTCAATCGCCCCTTCACTATAATCAGTTCCTGTTAAATCAGAGAACCTAAACCCAAAACACCAGAATTTCATTCATTATGGTGTCTCTGACATTTAGAGAAACAATGGAAATTCAGTCACCAAATAGCTTTCATGAAATCTTGGAACTCAATTTTATTTACAACTCTCTGGCTCCCATCTCAGTCCTTCTCACCAACCCTCCAACAAGGGAGGCAAAAAAGGACATTCAGCATTGAAATTTTTTTTTTTTTTTTTTGGGGGGGGGGGGGGGGTGAATTGGGGCCCAACATCCTAGAAAGAAGGGTTATGATATTTTTAGATTAAATATTGGAAGGTTTTTTTAATTGACTTTAGCCAGTATGTAACTTATTAACAAATGTACTGAACACAAATAAAAAGGCCAAATGCACATTCTCAAAATATCATGCCCCCTTTAGGACGGAATTGATTCTTGGAGGATGAAGCACATCAAAATAGCTTCATCAACATACCCAACCATGAGTAAAGGAAGCCTGATTTAACAGCGGCAAAGGTGTCGTATGTGCAGTGGTGACATTGATGGTACTTGAGAGTAAGTAGGTTGGTGAAAAACTGATAGCAGACTTGTTGTGTTGATTGGATTCTCAAGGGCAGTATTATGATACAACATCAACAACAAAGCCTTTTAGAAGGCCATTGCGCTCGATTATGTCTCACGTCTTCTGTTAGGTCCAAGTACTTGTCTTTTTTTAGAGTCTCTTCCAAAGTCTTTTTAGGTCTTCCTCTACCCCTTTGGCCTTGAACCTCTGTCCCATAAGCGCATCTTCTAACCGGAGCATCAGTAGGCCTTTGTTTCACATGTCCAAACCACCGTCGCTGATTTTCTCTCATCTTTCCTTCAATTTCGGCTACTCTTACTTTACCTCGGATATCCTCATTCCTAATCTTATCCTTTCTCATGTGCCCACACATTCAACGAAGCATTCTCATCTCCGCTACACCCATTTTATGTACGTGTTGATGCTTCACCGCCCAACATTATGTGCCATAAAGCATTGATAGCCTTATTGTCGTCCTATAAAATTTTCCCTTAAACTTCAGTGGCATACGACGGTCACACAGCATACCGGATGCACTCTTTCACTTCATTCATCCAAGGGCAG